GATAGAGAGAGGACACGATTCTCTCTCTTTCCTTCTCGCTTTCCAACACTCACCGGCGGGTCTTCGCCGTTTTACCTCCCTTCGACCCCTGTGTGTCTCAACCCCTCTTGAACACGCCGCTCTGAAATCGCTTCTCTCGAGACTGCCGGTCGCTCGTTAATGCTCGCGTGTGTTCAATGCGTTACTGAATTCTATCCCTATCGGGTGCTAGCCAGCCCTTCCTTCCTGCCCTTCGCTTCCACGTCTTTCCCCTAGTTTACGTCGAGAAGTACCACACCTACCGTCTCGACTGACACTGGGAGGCGAATCTTTGATAAATTGCGATAAGTCAGCCAGTCAACACTCGTGAAAAGAATTACGCATGAAGGAGATCAGCCCTAATTTGGATTTATCGGGTGTAATTTGATTTAAACTATACATCAAAGGCTGGAGATATATATTGAGGTATATAATCAAATTAAGAGAAAGACTTATCTTAAGGTTTATAAGAACCGTACGCTAGATGTTAGAATAATTTTGAATGGCAGAATAATAAAATAATGTCCGACAGTGTTAACATACACATGCGCCAAATATTTCACTTTGAAATTTATCTTGGACCTACTCCTTCTTTTCAAAATTTTTATATTGACAAGGTGATTTCTCTAATATGCTATCGAACTATAGAGCTCTACTCTCTGCTCAAAATCCGGGAAATGTTGCTTATTACACTAAAAAAATCAATATAGTAATCACGTATAGAGCAGTATCAGACGCATCAGAGCAGACGTTCAAAATTGTGTAAGATTTTTCACGAAAAAAAATTAGCAAATTGTATTTTCTGAATTTTTTATCGTTACCTTAAAGGTTGACGTTTTTATATTCATCATTATGGTTGCAAGATTCATTAAATTTTGTAGCTGGAACAATACGGAGAATATAAATGTACAATCGGGGACATCGAAAGCTACTCACTTGAATACTCCTATCACTTTCCATATCGTTTCCCTTTATTTACTTGAGACCTTCTTCTATGCCCAGCAAACACCTAGGCCAAATGTTTACCCTAGCACAGCGATACACACACAAAGGTTTAAAAAATTCGCTAGGCTTTCGTTTTGAATGGGAATAGGAGATGGTCTCTTGAGTAGGTAGGAAGGGACGGCTTGAGAAGTGGGGAGACTAGCTTTCAATGCTCCCGATTGTATATAATTATGCTATAAAATTCAGAAAATCGTACTCTTTGATAGTAAATTTTATTCGGACCCTTTCATTGGAAACGTCTTTCAAGACTATTTTATGAAAGAAAACGTTTTACTCGAATGAGGGATTAATGACCTGGTTTTAAAAGGTTAATTAACTACAATTTACTTCAACCTAATAGTGCATCTATTTGATTCATTTTTAATATTGTGAAAAATACTGACTCTTGATTTGCTTTCTTTTCTCTTTACAAACACTAGAAAACATTTTAATTTCTCTTTACAAGAGAGATCGTTCGTTCTCGGTTCACGTTTCTATATATAGACTCGCACGGACACCGTTGCGCGCGTTTACGCTATAAATTCCGGCGTGTTTCTCAGGATTAACGTTTGACCGCCCGGTCGTTCAGTAATGTCGAGGACAACGACGACGACGACGACGACGACGACATCGCAAGCTCGCTCGAACGCGCGCGCTCTCGTTCCCGTCGGAAAGTGCCGGATTTATGAAGAGAAAATAACGCTTTCCTCGTCGGGCCGCGCCGGCTGGCGTGGCCCGGGCTGGCGATGCGGGTTTTTCTTCAACTTCCGCGATCAGTTACACGGTAGTCGGAGATTGCAGCTGGGCGCACAGCCGGGCTAATATGCGAGCGCGGAAATGGTCCCGGGAGAAATTTGTAGGCGCCGCCGTCGGCGCCTGAGCGGAATTCTTTTCGGCAGAACGGCCGGGGCCCCGAAATGCATTCCGCCAACTTTCATCCCGCGCTCGCAAATGCACAGATACTGCGCGCGAACGGCGAGAGAATGACAAAAGTGCAGACGTGATCGGAGCGTTGAGAATGCTGATTAAAAAGTCAGGGAAGATACCACATTATTGATTTCGTTTCCTCCTTTTTTTAGTTTTCTATCGATTCTTTGTGATTCTCTGTTGAGTTTACGTCGATTATTCCTTACACACGTCAATATTATTTTTAATACGAATATATTAATATAAATATATTGCATTAATTAGAAAATATCGAAGTAAATGCAAACTACATGATGTTATCATGAAGCAATTAAATTTATATAGATTAACTGAAAGGAAAGGTCGACGATAACTCGGGCTATAAAGGATTAGGGTTCAGATTTTCCGGCTATACGTTTAATAAAATACGACCGGCCGATTCTTAAGCTGATAGTTAATGCCTCACGCGACTATTATACGAGATAAGCACAACTAAAACTCGGATTAGTCGCGATTCAAAAGAAGGCTACCCTAAGAATTTTTTAAATAAAATGTAGGATTCTCTCTCTCTTTCTTTCTCTCTCACACACACACACACATACAGCTTGTTACGCTAAGGACATATAAAGGAAGGAACCACGCGCAGTGTTGCAACGAAACACACACGCACGCGCGCGCACGGCGACGGGAGATCTCCTAAATCAATTAGCACGAGAACGGTTTAATTCTACGAGCGTGCTACGGTGTGTTCCCGGACTTAACATGCCGGCCGAAACCTCCCATCCATCTCGCGAGGTTTTCCGGGGTTTACCGGCAACAACGATCCACACCGCCCCCAGCGCGCGCGCGCGCGTACACGTCACGACCGCTTACACCTTCCTTTTATTAAAGCTTTCAAGACGATTTTGGTTCCCCGTTGAAAATTTACGGGTGAACATGCTCGGCCGCTGGGACTGGGAATCATGTTATAATTAGATTCCCGACGAGAACTGAAGACGAGAGTAACGTGAAAAGACACAAGCACAATTTTTTAACATAGACGACTCACCGGATATCGACCAGACGCAAAGAAGCGCAATTACGCTCGGAAATAATGGGTTACGCGTAGTTTCAATAACATTGGCGGTCACATAGACGGGAGACCGGAACCATATAATGCATTATTCAGAACTTTAAAATTATAATTTTCAAATAATTGTTGCAATTTACTGTACAGATATGATAGAGACAATTTTTTATATGTTTGTCCGTAATGATCCTGTAAACTATATTTTTTTCTTTTACTAAAAGAAAAACTAAATAACTAAAATACGAATATGCTATAATATGGCCAACTTGTCTACTAGATACGGGTTGAGCTGTCTAGCGACTTGAGATAAATTGGCCATGTGATATTCTGATTAATAGTTCCGGAGTCTCTACATCCTGACGACTGTTCTAAGTAGTGGAACTTGCTTCCAGTACAAGCCAAGTTGCCTGGCGACTCGGTGTAAGTTGGTCATGTAATATATCCTTTTAGCAGATGCCAACTTGCTCCGGTACCGGAGTGTCCACAGTCTTAACAACCCTTTTTAGTAGTGGCCGAATTTGAGCAAATTGGCTACTAACTCGGGATAAGTGGGCTACATAATATGAATCCTAATTAGTAGTTTTGGAGTCTCCGCAAGGTCTCCACAGTTCTGGCAATCCTCTAAAGTAGTGACCAACTCTCCCCGGTTGACTATCGACTCGGGGAAAATTGGTAATATAATATGCATTATAATTCCAATCTCCATAATTATGACGATTCTTTTTAATAGTGGCGAATCCAACTCAGGTATCGGGGCAAGTTGGCTATCAACTTGGGATTGTTTGGCCACATAATATAAATTCTAATTAGTAGTTTCGGAATCTCCGCGAGATCTCAATATTTCTGGTGATTTTTTAAAGTAACGGTTATCTACTCGGGGTTGGTTGGCTCTCTACTCGGGATAAGTTGGCCACATAGTATATATCCTGATTGGTAGTTTCGGAGTCTTCATGTGCGATAAATCGCTACAGTCCTGACGAATCTTAAGTACTGCACAACTTTAACCCATTCGTCAATATACTCTATTTTAATAATTTCATGAACAAAAATTACTTTTATTATATGTGTGTATATATGCCCGAAACAGTGTATTATACATTTTTGCAGGGAACTTCATTCTAACCAATAATACATTATTTATGTTTTTTTCATTCATGATGAAAAGTATTAGTGCCAAATTTTGAGACGCTCGAAAATATACTCTTAATTGTTCCTAAGTGAATTTTTCTTCTTTTTTAGCTGTAATAATATAGTGATTTTAATGGAATTCAGGAAAAGTGCCTAAATGTTCTAAAAAGGACGTTTTGCAATTTCGTTTTTACTGTTCCTTCTCCGATAAACACACAATAACACACATGGCTCCTGAGACAACTAGATCAGGTCTCCCCTACGCGCGCATGTCATATTAAATAATAATCATCTAGTGCGTCAGTTGAAGATTACACTGATTATACTTTAGAAAGTGCACTTGTCTCAAAACCATTTCTATTGACTCTTAATATCCGATAGCGGGGAATAACTTCCGATTACGCTCCGTGCCACAGAAATCCCGTATAGCCGGTAATCTCTCCGCTTACCGCTTAATTAACACATCTCACACTTCCCTTGCACACTACACAAATACCCCGACGCGTTTCACTTTATAATAAAGGACCCTTTTAAAGAAATTCCGTCTCCCATTAATTTCCCGAAACAAAGCCGGCCGGAACAATCTCGCTGGCGACGGTTGCGCTCGGTCGCGACGTGAAAATTTAAAACGTGCTCTCTTCGCGGCGCGAGGTTAAAGAGAGCACGCGAAAGGCGCCGGGATGCAAAACTGGCTTCCGCCTGCGGCGAGTCGCGCCTCCGCGAGAGAAAGGTTCCGAGCGGGGTGCGCGTCGCGCGTAAATATCCACGCGCGCGCGTTGTAGCCGGCCCCTTAATTGGCGCAAGGATGTGGAGGACAGGGGGGGTGGTCTCTCGAGGGGGTTTACCCGCGGCAAGGAACCGCGGTCCGGAATCGTAAATATTTTCTCGCACTCACCCATATTTCGCGCGACGACGGCACAGCCGTTGGTTAAGAGCCACGCAAGCAGCAGCCCGCCGAGGATCGGTGCTCCTTTCCGTCGACCCTTGCGGCACTCCATCGTGAGGTTCCGAGCTCCGACTACGCCTGAAAGCAGAAAAAAAGAAACGATCACGTGCCGTGCTGTGCTCCCGATCCTCTCTTCCTCGCGTTTCGCGCCAACGACGCGCTCACCCCGCGGTGCATCGCGATTTCCGAGAACGCATACGTTCAGTATGCCGAGATCGCAGAGCGCGTTATTATTGCGTTTACTAAATCGTACACTTTACCGGGATAGAGGCGGGCAGCTCGACCACAGCGGTCCCCTGTGCCTTTTTCGCCAGGAGACGCGTGCCGACTTATGATCGCGATTACGAGGAAATCGCGATACCCGCGACCAGCGAAACTGCTGCATATATCGTAGGTGGAATTAAAATATGCTGCTGCATATATCGTAGGTGGAATTAAAATATGTGCAAGACAAAATAATGGTGAACACCAGTATTGCATGGATATTCTTTTTGCATATTGGCTACACTAACAAAACACAAGTTGCGAGAACAAAAGATGCTTTCGTTTCTCTTTTCATTGTCTATATTTTCTAGTTTGTTTGCTAGTATATTATACGTTGTGTTCAGCAGAGGTTAATACGAGCATAAAATGAGTGATTTGTCAGACTTCCAAAGAAGATAAATCGTTAGGCTTATTTAGCAGAAGTATCTGTAACCATTACAGCTAACTTATGTAATTTTAAAAGCAACAGTTTTGACTGCATCTCTAAAGCATGGCAAGACTTCATTGGTGAAAACTAAAATTGACAGACAAGGACCGTCGAACACTAATAATGATTGTGGCTAAGGAACACAGAATTATTGCAACAAAAGTGACAGTAGACTCAATATCCACTTTGAAAACCCTGTTTCTACAAAAACATTTCCTCCAAAACTTTACAAAGCTAACTTAATAAAGCAATATAGTGTTTTCCAAGTGTTTACATTATTTTGTCTCCTATAGATACAGAAGCAAAACGAGTGTCGTTCATATGTGTTAACGTTAGTGAAATGTAAAATAGATATTATCTTACTTATATCAAGAGGAAAATAAATAAATAATGTGTCTTAGCTTATCTTCTTTCAGCTAAAATATAATCAAGAGAGCGAAATTTAATTTCAATATCCCAGACCGCTAACATTGTGAAAATGATGTTGTTTAACGTATAGTGTTCAACATTATTTTCTAAACACAGCTCGCGTGCTTTGTGGTTTCCTGGGTCACAGGTCGCCATGCCGAAACTCGTCCAGTTTCGCTCCGTTGCAACGCACGCTGTTTTTATTCGACGACATCGCGTCGTGTCGACTGCAAATTCCGAAATGCTGACGCCAAAATTGTTTTCCTTTTTCGCCTTCGTTAACCCACATTCACGCGAACGCGAGCACACCCTTCCCCCTCCCCAAGCCTTTCGTTTCGCTCGACGCGAGGATTAAGCTGATTTATAGTGTTTACCGACGATGCTCGCTCGATTTTTCCTGCGGTATAGCGCATGCGCATCGTCAACCTATCGACTTGTCGGCTAAAAAAGGCCCACGGAATTTGCGTGAGGAAACGGAACGAAAGCCAAAGGGAGTGAGGTGGATTACGCGTGAAATTGCACGTTTTCACGAGTGTCGCGGATGTTAAATCTTCGGTAAAACGCGCCTGTGCTTATAGAGGTGAGAAAGAAGGAGGAAATCGCTGCTATATAGGGAGGGAAAAATAGCGCACTTTAGCAAAGGAGACAAGACAGAATATTTCATTTGTAAAACATATATAATAAGTACAAAATTATTTTAAAAGACCAGAGTCGAAATTTTTATCTTATCTGTGATTTTAATATTCCACTTAATGTCTAAAGTAAAAAAACCCTATTACTGATATGCCTTTAGTCATTGACACTCTAGAAAGAATTTGGGTTGTTCATGCAACCAGTATTGCATTTAAACTTCTTGCTAGCACTCAATGATTCCGAAAAAAACTTCACTGCGACTTCACTGAAACAAAAACTGTGAACAACCGCCATTGATCGCAAAAAAAACTAAATTATTCTAGAGAGTCATTGACTAAAGGAGTCAATAATTAAGTATTTCACTCTACTTTGGTACTGTGAAGCCTATCTATGTCAACCATTCTCGATTCTATTGAACTAGCTAGCTAGGCCCTCTTTAGGAACTACAATATTTTATGTGTTTTCTGTCATTTAAAGACGTCAAGAACGTTCAGTTTCTATGTGTATTAAACATACACTTATCTTTCAGAACATAAAAATATTAGAAAGTTTAGGCCAAACGTAGGATTCAAATTTCGATATGAGCTTGAATTTTTTGGTAGTTTTGTGGATCTTGGATGTTTGATTCTATGTGAGCTGCAGTTTCCGCTCAAAATCCGTCGAAAACGTCGAGATCTCGCGAAGCAAGGTTCGTTGAGATAAGCGCATCGCGAGTCAACGAGCACCCATCTCGATTACAATCGCGAGAAGAAGAAAGATAAAAAGAGACAGAAACAGAAAGAGAGAAAGAGAGCACAAAAGAAGAAGTTCATCGGGGCACGACCGCCGGATGCATCACAGCGGACCACTCCGCAGATTGCATCGGTCGGCGCGACGCTTTTCCGCTGCCGCGGAAGCGCAGCGACGCGAGGCATCTGGAGCGCTGCCAGTTTGTTTCGAGAGAACTGCGTTAATTTTTCCGACGAGTCTAATTAAGACTCCCTCTTCTGCTCGCTTCTGCTTAGACCTTGTCCCTCTCATCTCACCCTCTCTCTCTCTCTCTCTCTCTCTCTCTCTCTCTCTCTCTCTCTCTCTCTCTCTCTCTCTCTC